TCAGTAAGAGTACCTGTCACTACTTATTGCTATCACAAGGGAAGTTTACATTTCATGTGATAGCAATAAAAGTGAAAAAAAAAACAATTAAAAGAACAGTGTAAAAATAGAAAAAATAAAATAAATGTAAAAATTGAAAGCGCCCCCATGCCCCGTGCTTGCATGCAAAGGCGAATGCATATGTAGGTCATGCACACATATGTAAACAGTGTTCAGAACACACTTGTGAAGTATCCTCATGAACATTATAGCAAGAGCAAAAATTCTAGCATGAGACCTCCTATGTAACTCTAAACTAATAACCTGAAAAGGCTCTTAAAGTGTCACCTATGGAGATTTTTAGATAGTTTGGCATCATTCTATAGGCATATGCAATTTTAAAGTGTAGGTATCTATCTACTGTAGTCAGCATGACATGAAGTAGTTAAATCTCGGAAGTAGCATGAAGAGCTTTCCACATATTAACTTATTCAAATTGTCAAAAAGAGTAGCATTTATTCTGCTGTTTATGGTGCAGTAAATTCCTACTATTCAATGTCTCACAGAGGTCTATAGTAACAACTCTAGAGTTTAATGAGATCTCCAGCTCCAATTTCCTGACAAATCTGGAGAGAAATACCCCTTTTTATGGTTCTATGTCTTTCCAAGGTCATTTCTGATATTATTCAATAATAAATAATGTTTGCTCACTGCACACAGTCCTTACGTCCCCTAAGCTTTTCTCAGCACACATGTCTGATTTCTTAAAGACTAAAACCAGATACAGTTAAGAATATAATGGCTCTCTATGAATGGAGTTGATACCAAATGAAGGAGTATCCATGTAAATATAGACTTGTATACAATAGAATAGAGTTAATATGACCTTAAATGATCATTATTACATTGACTCAGTAAAAGATGGGTTTTTAAGTTTTTACTGTCAGTTTTGAGTCTTAAATTGACATACTTATCAAAAGTATCACAGTTCCTTTTCCTGGATAACTAGTACATTTACACCTATCAAGTATACCAATTGACTCATATATTTGCTAATTCTTAAACCAAATGGATCGAGTTCTGGCCAGTTCAGCAGGGACCAGCCGAGATTTGATCCATCTATGGCTGGCTTAAGAATTTGCTTTTGGACTTGGTTGTACCCAAGTCAATCTATTGACCAGCGTATCAGGTTTTTTACACGTGATTACTGGTTATAGCAGTAATCATTTGTTCTGCCGCCTGGGAAGGCTGCCTATCAGCTGAACACAAGAATGCTTCAAGAGTGATTCCACCATCAACACTAACTGCGCTGATGGGGAAGTCAAGCAATTTTCTTTCCTTCCACCCATAGAGGAAGAAACAAAAAGAATCATCCATGGCTTGCCTTACTGTTAATAAATTTGGAGATGAGTCTATACATAATATAGATCATTATTAAATTCATAGATTCATAAAGTAGTGTATATTGCTTGTAAGTTCTGCAATATGTTTATTATTTACAAAAAAGACTTTGGTACATTTAAAGTGGTGTTAAACCCAAAAGCAAACATTTACTATATTGCAGCTTACCATTTCTTAGATGTGATCGCTGCATTTAGTCTCTTTTTTTTGACATTTTATTTCTTCTATCTTCATTTGGTGATATGGCCAGTAAGTCTGTTTTTTATTCAAAAGAACAAGCTCTCCAGCAGAATTTATCAGTTATAGATATGAGACAAACCATTAAGCACTAGCATGGGTGTTTCCAACAACTTTTATTCATTTGTGTATCTAAAACCTTTATCACACAAGGGTAAAAAATGTTTTCTGTAACTACTTATAATGTTTTAGCTGGAGTTTTTGCTTTACTCCTTTATGCCAACAATACGCATATGTGGCCTTTCAGCGGGTTGCCTGCATAATAAAAAGTAAACAAACGTGCTGAGAGTGCAAGCTTGCACACAGTTTCCAACACCTAACGGAAAGCTCCCAATTGCTATTTGTGGTCAGGTGCTTTTTGATCATGTGACTGCTGTGAACCAATCATGGCAGTTGTATGATCATAAACCCCGCCCCATCTCCAGGCATCAGAAACTCCTTAAAGGGCTGGGAGGTGCTGGCATTAAGGATTTAAATTTGTTAGTGTATTTAAATATGCTAGTATAACTAACATTCCTCTCCTGCCAAACTCACAATGCTACTGACCAAAGATGCCCCTGTACTCATTCATCCAGAGTGGGGGAGCTGTAATACAGGAGGTGAATTACTGACTGGATCACTAGGTGAAAAGAGAGCGATAAAAGCCTAGGAAAAGAAAACTGATTCTGCCACCACACCTGATTACCTGATGGGCAAGCTGCAATATATTATATTTTTGGTTTGGTGTTTAATACCACTTTAATGATATAACAATATAAGGGTGAATAGCAGCTGTTTCCCAAAAATGTCAATGGTGTGCCATCAGTGTACATCAAATTTTTAAAAAACCTGTGGAATTTCCAGCCACAATCAATGGGACATACATACAATACAGTAGAATATATTAGAGGTAATGAGATGAGTTCTTTTAAGGTTTTGCTAATTTTGGGTATTTGCAAATCAGTCCCCTTGTCTCGATCATAACTTTGAAACCTTGTAAGAGCTGAAGAGGAGATATGGAGGAGGAAGTCTCCACAGGTCATATTTCTAACACTGAGTGATCACATTCATGATGATTACAATCTAACAGCTATAATGGTAACTGTGTTTCATTTGTGAATCAAATAGTTAAAGATGTCTAGCAGCAAGACAAAGAGTATATGCAACACAAGATGGATTGTGCTCTTCCCTTATGCATGTTTTTCCATAAAAATGGTTTATGTGCTCTCCTCTGAGTGTGCATTGTTCTCATCCAATATATTTCACAAACCACTGTTACATTTCTTTTGTAAAACTGCAGAATAAAATGTATTTCATGTTTATTACTTGGCAACTGTTGGAGGTAGACACATGCTCTTTATTTCTAACTGCAATTCATGTGTCTTTTGATCTTAGTAATATAAAGACCAGCCAGATAAAATGTGAACAGACACTGATCTATATAACTAGTAGTAACTGTTTTCTTAAAACGCAACTCCAGACTCCAGACTGTAGACTTCTAAAGCTATTGAAGAAAGCATAAAACAAGGTGCTCTTCTTAACACCTGGTGTCCATCTGTATTTTAATCCAAGCAATTTTAATATTAGATAAAGAGTGTAGGGAAGCATGATCTACATACCATTACTGTCACCCCATAGTCCAGGTTTAGACAAAATGGGATTCCGGAAAGAAATTACAGTAGTGATATTCAAGGGCAATATTGTAATGACAATAGCGCTACATCAAATAACTTGCATCTTGTGTCATGCCATTCAAACCAGAATCAATATTATCTTTAATAGAGGACTTTTTTTATTTTATTTTCTCCAGATCTTTGAGCCTTTTGCTGACTTTTAATTCGTTTGTGGTCTTTGTTCTCTTAAGTTGTATAAAAGTAGTGCCATATTAAAATACACGCTAGCAATAGTAGTACAGTAGTTACATTAACGTGTAGTCAAATCTGCAGTGTAGTTATATATATAGACACAATATATTGCCAAAAGTATTGGGACGTCTGCCTTTACGCACATGAACTTTAATGGCATCCCATTCTTAGTCCGTAGGGTTCAATATTGAGTTGGCCCACCCTTTGCAGCTATAACAGCTTCAACTCTTCTGGGAAGGCTGTCCACAAGATTTAGTAGTGTGTCTTTGGGAATGTTTGACCATTCTTCCAGAAGCGTATTTGTGAGGTCAGGCACTAATGTGGGACAAGAAGGCCTGGCTCGCAGTCTCGGCTCTAATCCCAAAGGTGTTCTATAGGGTTGAGGTCAGGACTCTGTGAAGGCCAATCAAGTTCCTCCACCCCAGACTCGCTCATCCATGACTTTATGGACCTTGCTTTGTGCACTGGTGGGCAGTCATGTTAGAACAGAAAAGGGCCACCCCAAACTGTTCCCACAAAGTTGGAAACATGAAATTGTCCAAAATGTCTTGGTATACTGACGCCTTTAGAGTTCCCTTCAATGGAACAAAGGGGCCGCACAGTGGCTAAATGGTTAGCACTTCCACCTGGCAGTACTAGGGTCATTGGTTCAAATCCCAGCCATGGCACCTCCTGCCTGGAGTTTGCATGTTCCTGCATGGGTTTCCTCCGGGTACTCCGGTTTCCTCCCACACTCCAAAGACATGCAGGTAAGTTAATTGGATCCTGTCTAAATTGGCCCTTGTATATGAATGTGAGTTAGGGACCTTAGATTGTACACCCCTTGAAGGTTAGGGACTGATGTGAATGTGCAATATATATGTAAAGCGCTGCATAAATTGATGGCGCTATATAAGTACCTGAAATAAATAAATAATAAATAAATAAGGGGCCAAGCACTGAAAAAACAACCCCACACCATAATCCCCCCTCCACCAAACTTTACACTTGGCACAATGCAGTCAGGCAAGTACCATTCTCCTGACAACTGTGAAACCCAGACACGTCTATTGGATTGACAGACAGAGAAGTGTGATTTGTCACTCCAGAGAACATGCCTCCACTGATCTAGAATCCAGTGGAGGTGTGCTTTACACCACTGCATCCGACACTTTGCATTGCACTTAGTGATGTAAGGCTTGGATGCAGCTACTTGGCCATGGAAACCCGCTCCATGGAGCTCTCTATGCACTGTTGTTGTGCTAATCTGAAGGCCACATGAAGTTTAGAAGTCTTTAGCTATTGACTCTGCAGACAGTTGGTGACTTCTGCGCACTGTGCGCTTTAGAATGCGCTTGCCCTGCTCTATCATTTTATGTGGCCTACCACTTCGTGGCTGAGTTGCTGTTGTTCCCAGTTGTTCCACTTTGCTATAATACCGCTAACATGGATGAACTTATTCCACAGGTTGAAACCTATCACAGTACCACACTTGAATTCACTGAGCTCCTGAGGGCGATCCGTTCTTACACAAATGTTTGCATGCCTTATTTTATACACCTATGGTCATGGAGGTGATTGGAACACCTGAATTCGATGATTTGGAGGGGTGTTCCAATACTTTTGGCAATATAGTGTATGTACAGTGCTCAGCATAAATGAGTACACCCCAACAAATTTGGAAGAAAATTTTTTTTTTCCTTCCAGAATCAGCATTTTTTTGGGACAAGATACCACAAAATACTCCCACAAATGCAGGCCATTGATTGCAAACAAGATTTGTTAATTTGCACACACAAAAAACTATTTTTCTTAACAATTTTATTCAAGACCATGTTTTAAAAATGAATACACCTCAATGAAAGTCTTAAGAGCAAAGTTACATTTTAGACAGCAAAATCCTAATTTACAAGAATCCAATTACAGGTGAGACTAATTATTCATTAAACAGGCATCCAGCACACAGTTGATTATAAAAGGGTGTTACTTAAAGAAAATGCCAGCAATGGCACCACATGGAATAGAAATGTCACCCTTGCCTGAGAAAGAAGATAATTTCTTAGCACAAGAAAGGTGAAGGCTAAAAGAAGATCAGCAAAGCTTTACTTATCAGTCAGAATACTGTAGCAAAAGTGATACAAAAATTTAACAAAGATGGAACTGCAACTATCTCACAGAGACTTCCAGGCTATCCACGTAAGTTAACACCTTGGCAGGAGTGTCTTCTGATGAGAAGGGTTGAAGAAAATTGCCATGCAAGTTCACTGCAGTTAGCTAAAGAAGTAGAAAGTCAAATTGGGGTGATTGTTTCTTGTGACACAATACGGCATACACTGCAGAGGAATGGCTTGCATGGGTGTCGTTCAAGGACCATGCTGAAAAAGAAGAAGACTATTGTAATCTGGAGTGATGAGACCAAGATAAATGTTTTTGGAACTGATGGCATCAAAACTGTAAAGGTGAGGAGTACAAAGAAAAAATGCATGGTCCCTACAGTGAAACATGGTGGTGGTAGTGTTCTTCTGTGGGGCTGCATGAGTGCTGCTGGTGTTAGGGAGCTGCATTTCATTGATGATATCGTGAATTTACAGATCTACTGCTCTCTATTTAAAGAGAAGATGCTACCATCAATCCGTGCCCTTGGTCGTCGCTCACTTTTCCAACATGACAATGATCCAAAATGCACATCTAAGGGCACTGTTGCATTTCTGAAGAAGAACAGGGTGAATGTTATTCAGTGGCCAAGTATGTCTCTTGATCTAAACCCAATCTATGGGGAATTCTGAGGAAACAAGCTGAGCATCACTCTCCAGCCAGCATGTAGGCTCTAAAAGAGGTTGTTCTTGATGAAAGAAAAAAGATAGATGTTGAAATATGCCGCCAACTTGTTCATTCCATGCCTAGAAGACTTGGTGCTGCTCTTACAAATCATGGAGGTCATACAGAATACTAGATGTAGTAGCTTTTGTTCTGGGGTGTATTCATTTTTGCCTCAACTAATTTGAGTAAAACTGAAGATTTTATGTATGGGGTGTGTACAAAGGTGTTTATAAAAAGTAACAAGAACAATGTTTTAAAAATTCTTTTATTGAAACGTTTTTCAATTGAACATTGCCTCCTTCCAAATATGCACCTTGTGAGTGTACAGAACATTCCCAGCAATTTTTCCATTCTTCATAGCATCCCTGGAAGTCTTTAAGTGGGATGGCGTTCAGAGCCTATATAATGACTCTTTAGATATTATCCACACTAATAAAAATGGTGTCCTTTCATACCCTTCTTCATCTTCTGATAGTGAGCAGTCACAGTTGAGAAAAGATCTCACTGCATCCACATTCTGTTCCGTTATTGATGAAGAGGGGCATCCTGGTTGTTTGTCTTCAAAACCTTCTCGTCTTTCCTTTAGAGCTTTGTGTCATTGGAACACTTCTCCATAAGCTTTCCTCACCATTTACAAAGTTTCTGATGCACTTTTACCAATTTTCACACAAAATTTTATCACGTACCGCTGTTCCAAACTTGATAGCATTTTTGTTAATACAAGGTACTTGAACAGGGTGCCACAAAAAAAAAAGAATGTCTCAACTCTGACAGGGGTGGAATGCAACTGATCGGTGTTCTAACATATACCTGGCACTCTATCCCAAGTGACCTTGGCTAGCTTCTCCCTTCACAGAGCTCTTCTCAAGCATAGGAGCTTCATTCTCATTATATTCTGGACTATATATATATATATATATATATATATATTATTATATTTAGGAGAACAACACCTGCTATAGTATGATTAGGGCCAGAAAGAAAGGTCTTGGCTTTGGAGCCAATATACAGTAATAAAATGAAGAGGAATTGCAGCATTAATTGAAGATTTATTTAACTTTCAAAACAACAGTTGCAGGGCCAAGCAACAGATCTGTTAACAATATGAAGTACAGCCAATAAATATTGGGGAAATACATCCACAAACTAAAAAAAAACCTTATAGTGTTACTAAATCCACGACCATGCATTCACTATATCTGGTCTTTCACAGTACACAGAACATGGAAATGCAATTATTTTAGTAAATATAAACTGCTAAATACCTTTTCTCATCAGCACCTACAGTGGTCTTGTGACTTCTATCAGTGTCCAGCAAAGGAAGATGCAGGACCTCTGACCACTGTCTGGACAGTGCTGATTGGCCCTGTGCTGATCACATTGCACTCTCCCAAGGAAAAAAAAAACTCTTGCAATACACACCAAACGTAGCATGTGCAGCTTGCCCCTGAGCCTCTGTTCTATCAGGAGATATTTAGGAGCCACTGGAAGAAGGGGAGGATCAGAGAAGACAAGATCAAATATCAGTTTTACAAATTGTGGAGGATTAGTCCCTTATGTTCCACAGTGAGTATAAGAAGCATGGCTTTACTGCATATACAGACTGATTTTACTGTTGTGGGTTTAGTAACACTTTAAGTATGTAGAAAAAAAAGGAAACAAAATTAAATAAAAATGATCGTAAAAAATAAATACAAGTAAGGTCATTACTTAAACCAAAAAAATATATATATTTTCTTTAAAAGTAATTCCCCTTCACCACCTCTGTTTAGTTTAGGTGCCAAATCTATCACAACATCTATCAAACTGTGTGTCATTTTCAATAAAGTGTCTTTGCTAATAGTTGCTCTAAACATTTAACCCTAATTGCATATGTCAGGCAGTTCTCTCTTTAACTTGCTGTGTATTGTCACCTATATAACATCCACATGGTTACTTTATCATACAGATAACAAACAAACGCAAACAAGTATTAGAATTTTTTTTTTTATGGGGATGAGTGAGCACTTCACATTTATTCCTTTTGGAACAGTGAATGCATAAAAGACATGAACTACCATTCTTTTTCGGACCTAGAAATGTATGCACTATATTTACACATATTTACACAATCTGCACGGGCGACCCATCTATAACTTGTTCGACCTTGTCTGAATGACTGAAGAGGAAAATGTTTAAAAACTTTGCAATTTGAGGATAATTCTTTAAAAGCATATGTCAATGATGTTTTAGTCATTTAGTTAGGTAAGGTATGATACTGAAAGACAAATAGGATTCTATTGCTACCATGATTGCTACTAACACCCTCACCTATTTTAAACTCTTTTTACATTCCATTTCCATCACCTGTCTTGGATAACCCCATTCAATCAATTTGTTAACCATTTGTTTTCCATGACCAACTCACATTTCACAATATGGGAAACCCTCTGCAACAGCTGTCTAGGAACAGGCAATGAGCTTCTAACTTCAGCATGTTCAATTAAGCTTTGACAAAAAAAAAAAATGGAAGCTGACTGGCTACCATGCCCAGCTGCACCAGATTTTGCATTACTGCTGGATGATGAAAATAGTATATTTCAATAATTGGCTACAATCAGGGGGTTTTACATTAAGATTACTCAACAAACAATTATTTTAGATATATACCCTTTTATCTACTAATGGTATCAATGTCTGATCATATGTTATATTAAATTGTAAGTTAGGGACAACATGGTCCAAAAATTCATGAAATGACAATAACGCTTATAAATCACCTTGCCAGACAGCAATCACTTCATCTATAAATCTCATCCAAGATAGACAGTGTTTTTGAAATAAAGAAATATTATATACATGTTGTTCCTCAACCCACAATATAAATGTATTTGTATACAGGGATGTATAATGGGAACCTATCACTTCACCCCACAGGTAGAAGTAGTAGTCATTCTCACAATAATTATTTTGCAAAATGATCTGCAGGTGGTATTTGTGAGGAAATATACCCTCCCCCCCAGTGTTTAAGAAGTCTGACACTTGCAAAGATTCCCAAATCATGATTAATTGATGTATATGAGAATATTTCTCAGGTAACCAGAAAACCGTCAGAAGATTTAAATTTAATATCCTTAAATTTACGTGAAAAATCATTGGTGTCCATAAGATAGGATTATCAACAAGAAAATAAGGGAGGCGTTACTTTATCAATGCTCTGAGCTAAGGTGAAATCTATTGAACAAATACAGGAAACAATGAGTCTCCCGAATGTATAGGATAAATGCTTGTGTAGTGTATCTTGTGGAGTAAATAAATGAATAATGTAATAGGATAATCAAGTTGGAAGAACATTTTTGTATCTTTGTCTATATTGCTACTGTCAAAGGCATAATTCACAATCTGTGCACTTGTTTTAAATAAAAGAAACAGGATTTCCATACAAATTTCTATACACATTTCCATCAGATAGCTGTGCATTCAATTCATTACAATAATGTTTAACATCCATCACCACCACCAAGCCTATCTTATCAGCACATCTGTTTATATCATCTCCTTTTTTAAAGATTTTACTGCATTATTAGTGGCCTGATACTGTATGTTTTATCAGACAATAACAAACTAACATCCTCATTCACACTTTTTTTATGCACATTTCCAAAAGAGGTGAGGTAGTGAGAGGAGTTACAATGCCTGCCTTTACATGCACATGAACTTTAATGGCATCCCAGTCTTACTCCGTAGGGTTCAATATTGAGTTTGTCCACCCTTTGCAGCAATAACAGCTTCAACCCTTCTAAGAAGGCTGTCCACAAAGTTTAGGAGTGTGTCTATGAGAATGTTTGACCATTCTTCCAGAAGCGCATTTGTGAGGTCAGGCACTGATGTTGGACGAGAAGGCCTGGCTCGCAG